AAGGTCCTGGGGCTGGCGCTGGGGGCTGGAGGGGAGGCAAGGGCCAAATATTCAAGTCTTGTAGGTCAAGGCAAGCAGTTTAGGTATTATTTAGATGTTATTCCAAAACCAATTCTTTTTGAAACAGGGTCCAACTCTGTCACCCAGGCTATAGTGCAGTGGCACAATCTTGGTTCACTGCAGCCTTCACCTTCTGGCCTCAGGCAATCCTCCTGCCTCAGCCTCTCAAGTAGCTGGGACCACAGGTGCATGCCACCACACCCAGCTAATTTTTTCAATTATTTGAAGAGACAAGGTCTCCCTATGTTGCCCAAGCTGGGCTCAAGCAACCTTCCCACCTTGGCTTCCCAAAGTGCCAGGATTACAGGTGTGAACCACCACACCTGGTCCAAAAAGAATTTTAAACCTGGGAATTATATGATCTAATTTACTTCTTTAAAAAGTCACCCCTCCACTGCATGGAAAATGGACTGCAGGAGTAGAAGCCAGCAGACAGGTGGCACTGCAGGGAACCAGGGGACATGATGGTGGCTCAGATGGCAGGGGCTGCTCAGCAAGAAGTGGAAGGACTTCAGAGAGATTTGGAGGCAAAACCCACACGCTTGTTGATGAATGGAGCAGGTGGAGGTGTGTGATGCGATACCCAAAGACAAGTCTCGGTGTGGAGATTGAACCGCTGCTCTGCTGAGATGCAGAGGGCCACGGAGGAGGCCAGCTTGGAAACAGCATCGAATGCGGCAGCTTAGTGAATTGGATGAGCCGGCCAGCTCTAGACAGACATCTGGGGGCAGCTGCTTGGAGAGCTTTGTCCAGGGACGCGGCTCTCATCCATCGGTCAAGTGTGGACACGCTCCAGCTGGGCTTGCGGCAGCTCCCATCTAGGCAGCCCGTCCCATGCTGACATTGCAGAGGTGGGAGCTACACAAAGAGAATCTTGCAGTTTGTAGGTGAGCTACCTCCACAGGGGTTTTCTCAGAGACCAGAGCTGCAAGTGCATCACAGCTGCTCAAAAGCGCCGGGGTTGCAAGGCCCCAGAAGGACACCCTCCTGCGCCCTCCCCTCCTACCTCCAGGGAGGAGCTGGCCTGGGAAGAAGTCTACCCTATGTGGAAAAGCTTTCCAGGAAGCCAGTCCAACTTCAGGCCACTTATTTTTTTGTGTAAAATAAGTCCATTATTCAAATGTGGAGATAGGAGGTCTGAAAATACAGCAAAATTCAACTCAAAGCCCTCATTCTCAAAATGATGAGCCTGGGGGCCCAGCAGGGCTAGAGTCAGTTCTGATGAGCAAAGTCTGACTAGATTCAGAGCAAATTAGGACCCGCTGCTGCCCAGCCTGCCACTCGGGGAAGGCCAAGGTTGCGGGGAGCCTTTGTACAAACAAGCAATGGGAAGAAAACACTCACTAGATCACAGTGCACTCCCAGGCGATAAATGAAACTGGACTTTCCAAAGCCCTGGTGCTTTTGATCCAGCACTGGCTGGAGTCCCCCTGGGAGGGCCCTTGGCTGTGCTATCAGCAACCAGGCCTGACTGAGCAGTGACTCAGCCAGGAGAGCTGAGGCGATCCCCCTGGCCAATCCCAAGGCCTAGCCACACTCGGAAGAGGAGAGGGAACTCAGGGGATGAGTAACCTTGCTCTAGCTGACTGGAGGAGGAAGGAGGGGCTGAGTAATGCCTTAGCAAAGCCAGCACAAGCATCCTGATTCTAGAGGCTCAGTTTCACAATCCGGGAAATGGGCTGCAGTTGCACATGACACAGATCTGCTTTGAGGATGAAAAAGGCATCATGGGAAGCCGCTGTCACAGTTGCAGGGTTGGAAGATTTTTCAATTCTAAAACCCCGTAAGTTGAGGAGTGGCCATTCCCAGAAGGATCTGTCCACTGCTGAGCCCAGTTGGTGACAGTAGCTGTTGTATCCTGAGAACTCTGAAGTTGTGCAGATCAACCACCTGCACAGGCCCAGAATACCTGGGGCAAGGTAGGCAGGAAGAGTGAACATCCCTGTTCACGGGTGTCCGGCGAGCTACTGTAGGAAGGAGAAACGCCGGCTGATCCCCCAGGACTCTGAGCATGGTTAGCTCTGTAACTGCCCTGGCAGAAAGGATCCCAAAGAGAGGACAATGAATTCTTCCCCCAGAGGTACAGCCTTTTATCCCTGGTACCAGTGCCTGGGGCTCCAGGAAAGGGAGGGCATCTCCTTGGGGTCTAAGGCCACTCCTTGGTTGGAGGCCCCTCACGAGGTGACTTTGTCCTGGGCACTCTCTCAAGAACCAGGTGGGAACCAGAGGCCACCTGGTGCCGCTTCACTACCTTGGCAGCAGGGAACAGAGCAGCCTGGGAATCCACCCAAGGTGGAATGGGGCCCCTGGGTGCTGTGGCTGGCTGAGCAGGGCCAGTTTCATGGGGAAGCGGCAGGTGTAAAAGGGCCTGGGTTCTGCAGAGAGGACAGTGATCCTCGGAGAGCGAACATCTGGAACCAAAGCACAGAAGGTTTTGATGGTCACCCGGGCTGTCCAGAGGCCTACTCCACAGTTAGGGCGGGGCTCGCAGATTAGAGTCGAGGCATAGGAAGTGGCAGGATGATAAAGGCTGACAGCTAGCCACAGAGGAGCATGTTGAAGGCCCTAGGCCGAGCACTGGGGGCTCCAAAGGGGAGCAGACCAGACACAGTGTCTGTCCTCAGGAACTGCACAGTCTGGGGTTGTGATCGCGTAAAAACTGTCACAGTGCTCCTCGCCGCTGTGAACTGAAGTGCTGTGCACTGATACAGGATTTGACCTGCCCTGTCCCCAAGCAAGAGGATTCACTTGACCTGGGTGGCCTGAGCAGGCACCGACCTAGGCAAATCTAGGCCAGATGTCAAGGAGCAGAATGAACCACGGGCCAGCCAGCAGCACACACACAGCGGTCAGGCATGCCCAGGTGCTTGAAAGAAGGCCCGTGGCCGGCCGCTGGTGAGCGGGGGAGCTCGGGAGCTCACAGCAAGCCCCATGCCTGTCTTCCACTGGATGAAACAAGAGTGGGTATGGAACACCCTTTCTCCTCAGGTCAGATTGGGAACGATTCCTAATGAGCGGGGCTAGAACAGAGAACAGCAGAGAGGCAGGAAAGAAGAAATAGACCAAGGTGCGAGGATGGGGCAGGGAAAGAGACCTCAACATGACCAGGGATGGGAGGAAAGAACTCCATCGCTTAGAAACAGTGGCGGCTGTGCTGGGAAGTGTGGACTGTGACAGTGGGCTCTAATCCCAGGAGGAAGAAAAAGACCCCGCATATCACCGTGAGTCAGTCCTCGGAGTCGCCATGACCTTGCTAAACAAGTGTGGGGTTGTCACAGCCTTAAGCAGCACATCTCAAGTCCCACATTCCCCAGTGCTAAGACAACAGCTACACAGACAGGATTCTAAGGAGAGCTCAGAGGTAGAAGACCCTTAAGAGTCTCCCTTTCCTTAGATAGGAAAACTCAGGCCCAGAGAGGCAAACAATGGGTCAGTATGTGTGTCTAAACTTACCTAAACATAGAAAAGGCATAGTAAAAATATAGTATTAGAGTCTTATGGGAGCACCATCGTATACGCAGTCTGTAGTTGACCAGAGCATTGTTATGCGGCGCATGACTGTAGATCTTCTCATTAATAATAGGCCACCTGGTCAGGTGCACGAAGTCTAGGGTTCAGAATCCAACAGGCTCAGATTCAAGTCCAGCTCAGCCACCTGGCTGAGTGCTGTCTGAACCTCAGCATCCTCAGCTGTTAAAAAGAGATAACCATCCCCATCTCAGCAGCTTTGGGGGGAAATTAAATGAGATATATTGGGATCCCGATAACCAATGAAGTATCAAATCACTTTACCAGTTCAAGCTCTTACCACTCAGTGTTTGCAGGGGCTTATCACTGATGAATGAATTCAGGAGTTCAGGAGTTCAAGACCAGCCTGGGCAACATCCTCACCCAGCTAATTTTTGTGTTTTTTTGTTTGTTTGTTTGTTTGTTTTGAGACAGAGTCTCACTCTGTCACCCAGGCTGGAGTGCAGTGGCATGATCTCAGCTCACTGCAAGCTTCCAAGCTTCGCCTTCCAGGTTCACGCCATTCTCCTGCCTCGGCCTCCGGAGTAGCTGGGACTACAGGCACCCGCCACCACGCCCAGCTAATTTTTTGTATTTTTAGTAGATATGGGGTTTCACCATGTTAGCCACGATGAGTATTTTTTTTTTACAGAGACAAGGTTTCGCCATGTTGCCCAGGCTGGTCTCGAACTCCTGCACTCGAGTGGCAATGTTTGGAACCAATTTACACAGTTCTTTTCCTTGCAGTTGCCAAACAATATTATTTATCTAATAGTCATAACACCTTAGCAGATAATAGAACTACTGAACAGCAGTGCTTACTATGCTCATGGATGAGGTTTCTAGTTGTCTTCTATTAAGCAGGTGGCCTTGAATTCTGGCAGCTCTCGCTTCAGAGTTACCTGTGGACACACAACATCATTCACAAAATGTTCTTTTTCTCCCCAGTGTCTCTCGAGAATGAAAATGACCAGGCCATCCTCACATTCTACAGAGGTTAACCCAGCAACTTAGGGACACAGCTGGGGCAGGACTCCCGGGCTCCTGGTCAGTTCCTTGTGGGGATGCTAAGCCTCAGGGCTGACATCTCTTAGCTCTGCCATCTCTTAGAATTTCACAGGAGCTCCCATTTGCACTGCTGTGAAGGCCATCCTGCTCCTTGTCAAGCCTGTCTCATCGTTGGCTTGAGGAAGATCTCTTTTGTGCCCAAACTGTGAATAAGCAAACTGGATGCAGCATCTCTGATTGCTCTGGGAAGAAACTTATGAGAAGTGCTGGAGAAAAGTCATGACGTTCTGCCTCTGCTAAGAACCTGTTGGACACTGCTTGGTATATACGGCTAAGTGCTGCTTTGTTCAGACCCGCTTCCTCTGATTAGCAACCACAGATCTTCTGGGTTTTCACTTGTTTATTTCTGTTTATTGTCATCTCTGGGAAGATGGCTTCAATTTTTTTTTCCCCAGTTGAACCCCATATCAATTGATAAGTAGATCTTTTGATAAGTAGATCTTTCTCTCTCTTTCTTTCTTTCTCTTTCCCTTCCTTCTTTCCTTCCTTCCTTCCCTTCCTTTCCTTCCTTTCCTTTCCTTCCTTTCTCCCTACCTCCCTCCCTCCCTCCCTCCCTTCCTTCCTTCCTTTCTTTTTCTTGAGATAGGGCCTCACTCTGTCACCCAGGCTGGAGTGCAGTGGGGCAATCTTGGCTCACTGCAACCTCCACCTGCCAGGTTCAAGCGATCCTCCCACCACAGCCTCCCAAGTAGCTGGATTACAGATGAGTCCCATCACGCCCAGCTAATTTTTGAATTTTTTGACACAGACAGGGTTTCGCCATGTTGCCCAGGCTGTCTGGAACTCCTGAGCTCAAGTGATCTGCCCGCTTCGACCAACCAGAGTGCTGGGATTATAAGCGTGAGCCACAGCACTCGGCCAAGAACACGAATTTTCTATGGCTGCATGAAACAAGGCAATTCCCAGCGGTAGTGTATACCTGGGGGGAAGTGTTACTTAGTACAGAAAGTCTTTCCCTTCCCTAGTCACCCCTTCATGAACTTTGCAGCTCTGTTATGAGAACTACACACATCTAGGATTGTCAAAGATGAACAAATGACCCTCATCCTTGCTAATATTGCTTGCTCTGAAATCAATTTTTTCTGATACTAATATAGCCACTCCAGCTTTCTGTTGATTAGTGTTAGCATCACACAGGTATCTCTTTCCGTTCTGTTTACTTTGACCTGTCTTTATGTTTAAAGTGGCTTTCTTAATGACCCCATACAGTTGGGTATTCTTTTTTGTAACCAATCTGACAATTCCTGAAGTTACAATTGAAGGGTGTGATGGTTAATTTTTGGTGTCAACTTGACTGGGTTAAGGGATACCCAGATAGCTGGTACAGCATTGTCTCTGAGGATGTCTTTGAGTGTGTTTCTGGTAGAGGTCAGCATTTGGATCAGTGAACTGAGTGAGGAAGGAAGATTCATCCTCACCCATGCGGGCTGGGCTCCATCCAATCAGGTGAATTCCTCGACAGAACAAACAGGCTGCGGAAAGGCAAATTCACTCCCTCTTCTGAAGCTGGGACAGCCTTCTTCTCCTGCGCTTGGACGTCAGCACTCCAGGCTCTCCAGCCATTGGACTCCAGGACCTGCACTGGTGGCCCCTCAGGTTCTCAGGCCTTTGCTATGTCACCAGCTTCCCTGGTTCTCTAGCTTGCAGACAGCAAATCACAGGACTTCTCAGCCTCCATAATCATGTTAGCCAATTTCCAAACTAAATACCCTCTCATTTATCTGTATCTATCCTATCTGGTTCTGCTTCTCTGGAGAACCCTGATACAAAGGGTTTACATTGAATGTCATTCGCATATGGTTATATAAATAGTAGCTGTTTTAACACCCTCATCTAATTCTATCATGAATGTCATTTCAGGATCTGTTTCTATTGATTGATTTTTCTCCAGATCCTAGGTCATATTATCCTGCTTCTTGGCAAGCCCGTTATTTTTGTTTGGACACGGGACATTGTCAATTTTGTACCGTTGGTGGCTAGGTTTTGTTATATTCCTTTAAACAGCGTTGTGCTTTGTTCTGAGACGCAGTAAAGTTACTTAAGATTAGTTTGATCTTTTTGAGGCTTGATGTTCAATATTGTTACAGCAGATCCAGAACAGCCTTTGTTCTAGGACTAATTTGTCACCTCTGCCAGGCAATTCTCTTCTACTTTTCTCCTCGATGTCCTGAATTTTAGGGGGTCTCCCCAGTCTGGCTGGTGGAAATGTAGTGTTTGTTGTGTAAAATTTACCTCAAAACTTAGCAGCTTGAAACAACAAGTATTTAGTCCCTGCAGTTTCTTGTGTCAGGAATCCAGGGGCAGCCCAGCTGGTGGCTCTGACTCAAGCTGTCTCGTGAGCTCGCAGTCAAAGTGATGGCTAGAATGGAGCCCTCTGACTGGGGCCAAAGGATCTGCCTCCAGGACGGTGACTCACATGGCTATAGCCAGGGGCTCCATTTCTTGCCTCATGGACCTGTCCAGAGGCTGATTGAGCAATACAGCTTCTGGCTTCCCCAGAGGGACTGACCCAAGAAAGGGCAAGCAGGAGCCACAGGGCTTTCTACACCATAGTCTCTAAAGTCACAAACCATCACCGTCACTTTCACCACATTCTGTCCTTTAGAAGCATATTAGTAAGCCCAGCCCACAATCAAGGGAGGTAGGAGTAGGCACCTCTTTTTGAAAGGAAGACTATCAGATAATTTAGGGATATATTTCTAAGCTGCTCTCACAGACACAAAGTATCCCCAGGTCTGAGTGATTTCTGAAGATCGTTTCGCATGCAAGCTCCTTCCTTGGTGGTTTCCTCACATTCATGTGCAGACCGGTACTCAGCTGAAGACTCGAAGGCACTCCTTGCAGATCTCTGAACCATTCTCTGTGGCTTCTTCTTCTGCAGCTCTCTGCCCTGCAAATTCGAGCTCCCTTGGCCTCCCAGAAGCCCACATTCCATCTCCTGAGCTGGGTAGGCCCTCGGGCTCTGTTTGGGCTCCCTCTTCCTGCACTGCTGAGCTGGACACTTGCAAGGCTGCTCTTATTGCTTCCCGTCTCCCAGGAATCCCTGTCCTGTTCTGCCTATTGTCCAGTGTCCACTGTTATTTCAGATACTTGTCCAGCTTTCTGGCTGTTTTTAAGACAGGAGGATAAACCTGCTCCCTATTATTCCATCAGGACCAGAAGTGGGACTCCCCAGCAGCAGTGCTGGCTCCCGAAAATGAGTCAACAGCCATGCAGCAGACGGGAGACTCACACCCTCCCTTCTTCTTTTTTTTTTTTTAAATTATACTTTAAGTTCTGGGATACATGTGCAGAACGTGCAGGTTTGTTACATAGGTATACACATGCCATGGTGATTTGCTGCACCCATCAACCCGTCATCTGCATTAGGTGTTTCTCCTAATGCTATCCGTCCCCTAGCCCCTCATCCCCTGACAGGCCCCAGTGTGTGATGTTCCCCTCCCTGTGTCCATGTGTTCTCATTGTTCAACTCCCACTTATGAGTGAGAGCCTGCGGTGTTTGGTTTTCTGTTCCTGTGTTAATTTGCTGAGAATGATGGCTTCAGCTTCATCCATGTCCCTGCAAAGGACATGAACTCATCTTTTTTTATGGCTGCATAGTATTCCATGGAGTATATGTGCCATTTTTTCTTTATCCAGTCTATCATTGATGGGCATTTAGGTTGGTTCCAAGTCTTTACCATTGTAAAAAGTGCCGCAATAAACATACGTGTGCATATGTCTTTATAGCAGAATGATTTATAATCTTTGGGTATATACCCAGTAATGGGATGGCTGGGTCAAATGGGATTTCTGGTTCTAAATCTCTTAGGAATCGCTACACTGTCTTCCACAATGTTTGAACTAATTTACTCCCACCAACAGTGTAAAAGCGTTCCTATTTCTGCACATCCTCTCCAGCATCTGTTGTTTCCTGACTTTTTAATAATTGCCATTCTAACTGGCGTGAGATGGTATCTCATTGTGGTTTTGATTTGCATTTCTCTAATGATCAGTGATGAAGAGCTTTTTTTCATACGTTTGTTGGCCACATAAATGTCTTCTTTTCAGAAGTGTCTGTTCATATCCTTTGCTCACTTTTTGATGGCGCTGTTTGGTTTTTTCTTGTAAATTTGTTTAAGTTCCTTTTAGATTCTGGATATTAGCCCTTTGTCAGATGGGTAGACTGCAAAAATTTTCTCCCATTCTATAGGTTGTCTGTTCACTCTGATGCTAGTTTATTTTGCTGTACAAAAGCTCTTTAGTTTAATTAGATCCCATTTGTCAATGTTGGCTTTTGTTGCCATTGCTTTTGGTGTTTTAGTCATGAAGTCTTTGCCCATGCCTATGTCCTGAATGGTATTGCTCAGGTTTTCTTCTAGCGTTTTTATGGTTTTAGGTCTTACGTTTAAGTCTTTAATCCATCTTGAGTTAATTTTTGTATAAAGTGTAAGGAAGGGGTCCAGTTTCAGTTTTCTGCATATGGCTAACCAGTTTTCCCAACACCATTTATTAAATAGGGAATCCTTTCCCCATTGCTTGTTTTTGTCAGGTTTGTCAAAGATCAGATGGCTGTAGATGTCACACCCTCACTTCTAATCTGACATTATCTCGCTCCCTCCTCCTGGTCCACTTCCCTATAAAGGTGATGTCCTTTGGCATACACTTCAGATCAGCACATCTGCGTTTAGCACTCCAGGCTTCATCCTTCTTCCCAGCTTTCCCCAGCCTTGTAGTCCACAGTGCCTCCTTTGCCAGTCCCAGGGATGATATTCAAACTATTAGGCATGCCATGAGCATAAGCCAATCAGAGCAAACACCAGCCACAGCAGAGCAGGGATCTGCTGGCTTATGGAGAAGGTTGCAAAGCGAAGGGGGCAAATCTAAGAGAAGAGATGAGATGACAGGAATGAGGCCACTTAGGGGACTAGGGACAGTGACTACAATGGGTATTTCTAAATTTCTAATATTTTAATCATTGGCAAGGTCATAGCAGTGTATACCGTATGAATCTACCAAAGAAAAAAACATTTTTGGAATTGCTTTTTAGCTTCAACTGAGAAATGCATCTGCTATGGACTGAATCTTTGTGCCCCCCAAAATTCATCTGTTGAAGCCCTAGTCCCCAGTGTGATGGTATGATGAGGTGGAGCCTTTGGGAGGTAATTAGGTTTAGATGAGCTCTTGAGGGCAAGACCTCCATGATGGGATTTGTGCCCTTATAAGAGGAGACCAGAGCTCACTCTGTGTCATGTGAGGACAGTGGGAGAAGGCAGCTATCTGCAAGCCAAGGAAAGTGGGCATCACTAGAACCCAACCATGCTGGCACCCCGGTGGCAGAGGTCCAGTCTCCAGAACCATGAGATAGAAATTTCTGTGGTTTAAGCCACCCAGCCTATGATAGGTGTTCTAGCAGCCTGACCTAAGACAGCATTCTAAAAAGACCTGAAAAGATGCTTGCATCCTAAAGGGCATCAGAGTGATTTCTTTCTTTTTTTTTTTTTTTTAATGCATACTTATTTTATTGCATAATTAATGGCTGTACAGAATTTTAAAAATTGATACATTGTAACTTTACATATTTATGAGGTACAGTTTGGTGTTTTACAGAGTGATTTCAAATCCACAAAATCAACCTGGACTGAAGGCACCCCAATGCTCAGTTCTTCCCCAGGCTGCCCTAACACAGAGCTCATCAACCAGTTGTAGAAACTGGAACCCCAAAACTAAGGCGTCAGTCAGTTGAGTGACCCAGTGTCTGGCCTCAGTGAGGGAAGCTGACTTCCAAATAAAATCAGGCTTCTGCAAAGACACTGTGCAACCTGTGACAGTACTAGGACACCTGAGCCAGCCCCCCGGAGTCATAGCTCAGCCACTAAATGCCTTAGCAGATAGACCTTTGAAGATAAAATCTACAGTATTAAGTGATATAACCATTTATCAGCTCAAAAGAACGAACTAGGAAAGCAGAAAGAGACTGAATATGCTAACAAATCATGTCATTTCATGGGAAGAATGTAAATGCTGTTTGCCTATTGCCATTCACTTTGGCACGCACCCGTTTCATCATTGACCTAGAACCTGGGGTTGGTGAGGAGAATAACTACACTCTGAGGACTTCATTCGTCTCACATTTCCCCTATTCCACAGTGTCCAGTGTGCGCCAGACCCACAGAAAGGTCTCAGAAGACTTGCTGAAGGACTAATGGGTTGATTGGCTAAGCTAAGCTAGCACAGGAAAGGGACAGACCCTTAGGAGAGCTATTGTCAATCTCCTAGATTCAAATACGTGTTCCTGTGTCCTTAGGAAAGCGAAATTGAATTTTCCTTTAACCTAAAGCCTAACATTAATATAATATATAATAAAACCACATACTTCTAAAAGGAGCATCAAAGATGTAAGAGGAACATTATCCCCCTCCAAGGGTGCCATGGGAACACTTTCTCCTTCTTTTTTTTTTTTTTCTTTTTTTTTTTTTGAGACAGAGTCTTGCTCTGTCACCTAGGCTGGAGTGCAGTGGCCACAATCTCGGATCACTGCAACCTCCGTCTCCTGGGCTCAAGCAATTCTCCTGTCTCAGCCTCCTGAGTAGCTGGGATTACGGGCGTGTGCCACCACGCCCGGCTAATTTTTGTATTTTTAGTAGAGACAGGGTTTCACCATGTTGGCCAGGCTGGTCACAAACTCCTGACCTCAGGTAATCCGCCTGCCTCAGCCTCCCAAAGTGCTGGGATTACAGGCCTGAGCCATCACGCCCAGCCAGGAGCACTTTCTGAATAACCTTCTGGTGTCTGCATCCCTTGTTCCTTCTGTCTCATCAAAGGAGCTGTGCAGCTGTAGCTCAACTGTTCCTTTCTAATGCAAGGGTAAATACAAATCAAAAACCTGTTTTGAATTATCTTTCATGCAATAAGGGAAAGAGACTGCTTTCCTCCTCCTTCTCTGAGAGCATTTACTGTAGGACACGTGTCATTGTAAATTCTTTCTCTGTCCCTTTGAGATGTTGTAAATCTTTTGAAAAGCTAAATAAGCCTGTGGCCACCTGTAAAACTCAGGAGTGTTTCCTAAGAGACCTGGAGGCCACCTCTTTGAAATGTAAACATGAGGGAAGACAGCACCCCATCTCCTAATTCCTTGAGAAGGTAAGAGAGAACCTATTCTGCAGGGGACTTGCTCCAAGATGCAAAACTATCTCCTGTCTGGATGGCTTTTTTTTCCCCTCTTGGGTCTTGGGTAAAAGCAATTAGCTAATGCAGATTACTAGGTGATTTCAAGATGAACTAAAAAGGATAAAGGGTGCTGTCAAGTGCTCTTACTTGAGGACTAGTTATGGTTTATCTTCACAACATGTATGCAATGGGTTGTATTTGCTTGGCTATAAAAAAGGGTGAGTTTCTCTCTGTCACGTTATTATTACTATCATCCATCCCTCATCCTATGTGTTCTCAAAGCATGTGAGTGAGGACAGGAGAAGAAAAGGTGGTCATTGGTTAGAGGACAGGAGAAGAAAAGGTGGTCATTGGTTAGAGGACAGGAGAAGAAAAGGTGGTCATTGGTTACAGTCCCTTATGCTCTAACAGTAGCTTTGAAATGTCATGTTGCAATGTGAATGAAGGTCTCTAATTTAATACAAACTGGTCTCTTTTGATTCATGGCCAAATGCACAATACTCTTTCCTGTGTAGAATCATCAAGCGTGGTACAGGAGAAAGAACACAGGATTTGACATCAGAAGGGTTGGCTTTGTGTCCCAGCCCTGCCCCTTGCTAGCTGTGTGACTTTGTCAAGACATTTAATCGCACTGAATTTCAGTTTGATTGTGTCAAGGAGATCTCTTGGATTCCTTTCATTGTTGCTTTTCATACAATGGACCAGAAAACCTACACTAGTAGAAAAACTGGCAACATTTGAATCAATTCTGTGGCTTATTTAAAAAAAAAATAACTGGCTCAACATTGCCACATATGCCTACTATCACATGGTTGCCAAAGTCCCAGAGGCTCGAGGAGTTTGGGAGGGGGAGGGTTGAGGGGGTGCTGGGGTGGGAAGAGAGGCTGAGGCTGCTCTTAAACAGACGAGATCTGATCCAGACCTGGAGGAGCTTTGGACGACAACCAGGAGAGATGAGCAGAGAAGAGATGGGGGACAGGGGAGAGCGTGGCTGGGAGTAATAGTGGAGCCACACGTTTAGCAAACCTTAGGCAATGGGAAAGTTCAAAACGTGTTTAGGATTCACTTGCAGGTTATCAAACAGCCCTATGGGTTTGTTGAGCCGTTAATATGGGAAGACAGGCTGAGACCGATTTGTCATGGCCTCAGATGGCAGCCTAAGGAGTTAGCGTTTTGTCCTGAAGGTCCTGGAGAGCCATTAAAAGCTTCTAAGCAGGAAGTAAAACATTATGAAACCCCTGTTTTAGTAAATGAATCTGGCTATGGTGGGCATTTCATATGCCAGGCAGCAGCTGAGGTAGAAAAGGCTTCTATGATGGCTCAGATGGTTGGTGATCAGGTCAAGCTATGACCATAGATTGACTGCTATGGAGAACTGAGGAAGGGACAGTGCATTTCCATCATTTTGAGTCTATGAGAATGGATCACTCCAGTAATGACGCCGCCAGTCACCACTCAGGCTCAAGGTGGGGCCACGGCAGCCTCTCTGCAGTGCGTTAAGTCCTGATCCCACCCTGTGAGATGAGAGTCCTTGTAGCTTTATCTCTTAAATGTCCTTCTTGGATTTAGGAAAGCTGAATCTTCATTTGTTTCCACATTCATCCATAAAAGAAGGGCAAGAAATCCAGGGAGAAAAAAGTGATTCCAGGATTGTGCCCACATGTTTCCCTGTCAGGAGCCCTGGAGTTTCAGACCGCGCTGGCTGGCTGCTTCGAAAAGCCTCTGACAGCCACCTTTTCCCAACTCAGAAACAAAACAGAACAAACAAAAAAATCTACTACTTTAAAATCCCAGTGGAACTGCGCTTCCTATAAATGTGTTTTTGCCGATTGTTTTTGCATGATTAATGGTTCCCAGGGTTACATAAAATTCTAGGGACCCCTCTTTCCCATCGAGAGAGAAAAAGGATCAAGTCAGGAAAGGGTGAGGGGACCCAGAGACAGACATCACCTACTTCCAACGGTGCTGTGGGCTCTCTCTGGGCCCTGGTTTGGGAATTGAAGTTCCTGTCCCTACTGTTCTCATCCCTCTGAGAGGAATTAGGCTCTGAGGATTCCTGTCACGATCCAACTTGGAGAGTTCCCTGTCCCTGAAAATACTCTCAACATTACAGGCTGGCCCATGCATCTAATGGCAATTCCTTTGCATTCCCCATGTTAGTAAAATACTGGGAAAAATTATTGTCTACATTAGAATTTTATAAATATGGACCATAGTTTATGATTCTTACAAGAATTCCTTGAGAAAGCATCCAGTTACACTGAAAAGCTGGCGAGACCTGTCTAAAAGCCCAGAGCGAACCACCAAACGGAGAACAGAATCCAAACTCCCAGTTTTGCTGCACAGCTCCAGCCTCCCCAAATTCCAGTCACTGCCCCCTTCAGCAAGCCAGTGCCTGGGAAGCCCGAGGGGAGACATGTTGACCTGCGTCACCCGGAAGCTCCGGAAGCATCGTGATTCCCCACCCTCCCTGCCTGCCCTTTACCTTAGCTTTCAGAGGAAAGTCTCATCTCCCCATCAGAAGGTACATTGTCAGGACCCGGCTCAGGTTCCATTAACTTCAGATAAAGGCCCCTGCTCATGGGAACCTGGGTCTCCTGGTGGATTCCCCTTTTTCTTCTGATTTTCTAGTTCTCAGCAGGCTGGGCCACCACTGGGTGGCTGCTGTTAGGACAGGCATGGCTGGCCCTGGTCTTGCCCTTCATTCTCTCTTCCCTCCTGTTCCTTCCCTCAGGCTGCCTCTTCCCCTCCCATCCTCTCTCCCTCTCCAGCTTGCTCTCATGCGTGCCCTGGGCACGGGCTCTCCCGGGAAAGGCCATTGTTGGGCGGCAGGATTCTGATGCTCCCCACGGGCACTATGACATCAGCATTTGGTGGTGCTCAGAGGAGGAGAGAAAGAGATGAAGAGGAGTGAGCAAGGCTTCCGGAGGGAGCATGCAGGAGACCAGCCCTGGATTCAGACTGGAGTCTCATCCACATCAGAGGCTGATAGAAGGCTTGGATTACAGCAGGGGCAGGTTCTGTCACGAAATCAAATTTCTCTTCACTGATTTCTGAATTCACAGCAAGCTAACTAGAAGAGATTTTTAATTCAGAATGCTGCACTCCAACAAACTGAGAAAAACATTGAGGGAGGGAATTACGGAAATTTGACGGTATCTACTAAGTTTGATTTTGAGAGTTTTGTAATAAATGTTGTTGAATAGAAAAGGCATCAAGTCCCTATATATGAGCTCTTTGAAATGCCTAAATCAGAGGGATAAAATGATGAATAATTACAGTACACGATTTTTGAATTATTGTCAAATCAACTAAAATTAGAAGTTTTTAACATGCTAAAATGGAAAGTTATTCAACAGAATGGAATCCTTTAAAATATGATGGAACTGCCACTTAAGCATCAGAAGTCTGCTCAGGCGTGACCCTGGGAGCCCAAACTTTTCACAGAACAGCAAGGAACATCCCTATGCTCCTCATTCCCAGTTTTTCTGTTTTGTTTTTTTGGTTTGTTTGTTTGTTTTGTTTTGTTTTTTTGAGATGGAGTCTCGCTCTGTCGCCTAGGCTGGAGTGCAGTGGCGCGATCTCGGCTCACTGCAAGCTCTGTCTCCCGAGTTCACGCCATTCCCCTGCCTCAGCCTCCCAAGTAGCTGGAACTACAGGCACCTGCCACCACGCCCAGCTAATTTTTTGTATTTTTAGTACAGACGGGATTTCAACGTGTTAGCCAGGATGGTCTCGATCTCCTGACCTCGTGATCCACCCGCATCGGCATCCCAAAGTGCTGGGATTACAGGCATGAGCCACCGCGTCCGGCCCTCCTTCCCAGTCTTTACATAGATGCTTAGGATTCGAGGGGGTTTTCTTCTCATTAGCAAGACTCTGGCACCATCACTATGTCTAGTACCAAATCTCTACATTCAGGATAGAAGGTGCAACTTAGAAATATCAGTTCATGAACCATGGGTCATCCCTTTGGGAAAATGCAGAGTCAAGCCAACTCTCTTGATCTTCCAGGCATACAAAACCTGCTTGCCCCTCCCCACTTTGAACAGTGCTTTTGAACTTTGATGGAAAAGCCACATTTGGAAAGCAAGTTATTACAGGGAAGAGATTTTTTTTTCTTTTGTCTCTAGTTCATGGTACCTTGGATAGATGCACGTTCACTGCAGAGTCCTACAAAGCACGCTCTAATGTTCAAAGGCAGGGCAGTAGTTTCTAGTAACAGCGTGGGATTTGTACATTACCTTGTTGACTTTTTATTATGCAGCAGCACCTTTTAAATCATATGCTAATCTAGCACCTTCAGTTGTTCTATATAAGAGAGTGTGATTATTCCTAAAATATTTACCAATCATTTGTTCTAAGTGCTAGGCTCTTCTGTAATATTTCCAGATCATGTCAACGCTTCCTTATTAAAATTTGGGAGCTAAAAAACAATCACTTGCTTCTGAAATCATGATTCTCGTTCTCAAAAGTGTACAGTATTCTACTGAGACTGGAAGGGGTGTTACTGAAGCCTGCATGTTGAGTGGGCTACAAGATTCCGGCTACATAACACTTCCACCAGCCTTAGAGTAAGATCACGTAGCTTTGCATTTTCCCAACCCTGTAATCTTGGGCTGCACATCTATTAGCCCGAAACAAAGGAATTCACTTCTCCTAGGCTTCTCTGCAGGTCATGCCAACCTTAACACAAACTGCAGTCCCTACTGTCCCTACTGACCATTACACCGCAGAGCCGTGAGGATGATGGCTCTCCAGTTTGGAAGAGAATGATGCAGGACGAAAGGGGTGGGCAAACCATGGTCTAAGTATGATATCTGAAGCTGCTTAATCTACAAAAGAAAACCCCATGTGAGGAATGGGAGATGGAGATGTGGAGGCCTAGTGTCTAAGGGCTGGCATTCAGGGGAAGGATGATACTTGTCTGTAATCTCAAAGGCTATGAAGGATGGAGCTGGGTGGATTTGGGTTCATCATGAAAAGGACCTATGAGTAAGTCAGGCCTACATAAAGGTGATCTGGAAGCCCCCAGCTGCACCCTCAGTTGGACAGGGCCTGTGGAGGGGTTTTGAACATGACTTAGCAAATGGAGCCAGATTCCTTCAATGCTCTATCCAGTCCTAACTCAATGAACTAGCTCCCTCCTTCTTTTTCTCTGTCTTCCAAACTGAACTACTATATCTCTTGCAAAACCAATTGGATAATTCTGTGTTAAGCTTCCTGTCTCCCACCCTAAGCAACCACAGATGAATGATGGTTGTTGCAGAGGTGGGCAAGTCTGGGTTCTGAGAGCTGCCATTGAACTTCTCTGTGCTGAGCTGGCATTAGCTCCTCTCCTCTCCCCTCCCCACCCTGCTTAGAGGATGCTCTCCACATTTGGAGGTTTGTGTCACACTTCTAGGTGACCAGGGCTTCTCTCCCATGAGAAGAGGAGGGACAGGAGGACTCTGTCTGAAGGTTCTGAGTTTCAGATTTGCCCATGGGCCAGACATCAGGCTCTGTCCATGAGGTGACCCAAGTCACCAGAGGAAAAGTGACTGTCCCCGATCTCCACATTAAATTTGCCCTGGGCCTCAACCAAACTCTACGCTTTTTCCTCCTAGAACAGTGAGGATATAGGCGTGGTTAAAAAGAAATCCCACAGGTCCTTCTGGAGTCTGGGGTGTGCTGGATAGGGTGTGGGGAACTGGGGACCTGGGTTCTGGCTAGCTCTCTGTCCCTTACTATGAGACCCTGCGCAAGTCACCTGGGGACCTCAGTCCTCACACTGGAAAGTGACACAATGGGAAATAGAGGACAACCAGGACACCTTTTAGCCATGACCTATAATTTACATCTCTATGAGGTGACTTCACAGGCACAGATCATCTTGCATCCTCACCCCGACACACACACACACACGCACGCATGCACGCACGCACGCACACACGCACGCAGTACAGTAACTGTCAATCTCAGGTCCGAGACACCCCAGGGCATCTCTAATCATCTCAAGTGACATTGATATCATTTCAGAAGAAGGAATTAATGCAAATTCACCTCGATTTTAAAATAGGTAACATCCCACCCAATACTTTCTCCCCTCCCTGGGGAGGTGTAAGTGAAGATTCAGGCACAGCTAACCTAATTGGAGGAAGTTCTGAGCAGAGTTCAGCACAGTCTAGATAAGGAATCAGTTGGGAGTTTCTGGAATCTCAAACGGAAGAGAGGGATGGAGTCAGAGAGCAGGGCATGGGCAGACAAGGACCCGCCCTGTCCTAGCATTACTCAGTCTGAATTCTCTTCTCTCACACCTTGCTTCATATGCCTAACCTGACACCGTACATCTGCTTGGTCCATGCTCAACTCAGCTGCAGCATCCTCAGGAGACAGCTGGATCAGCTAGAGAGCTTCAGAACGAGACACATCACTCTGCCACACACCCGCAGTGCTCTAGCTCCAGGATCCAACATCTGACCACATGTCGGCAGCCACCGCCGCCCTGGCTCCACCATTTCTCCCCAGGTCTAAGCTTAAGCCGCACCGCATTGCTTCCATTTCTTCACACTTGCTCTATTCCCTTCTACCACAGGGGCTTTGTGCAAGCTCAACCTCAACACAAATCTTCCCCCTTCTTCACCTGGTCAATAGCCACTCATTCTTCAACATTAGTTCAAGCATCACCAACCTCCCCGGCTATGTCAGTTCTCCCTGTTAGACACCCTGGCTGTTCCACATATCTTTTATTCAAAATAGTTACATATTAAAGCATTCCATTTGTGCTTACAATTATTGTAGAATTACTTCCCAGCCAACAGATGCTACAGGAGGGAAGAGATCTTTTCTGTTTAAGTATCTAGTGTAGTGCCTGGCCCTTAATAGGTGCTCAACAAAAATTTTTTAATGAATGCTTAAATACCATATCATGGGTCATGTCTGGTTGCAAAAAGATATTCATCATAATAAAAATAATAAACTATAATTAAAATATACTCATCATCATAAAAATAAATGAACTAGGCACATATTGGTGTTAAAGGTTTCATTGCCTCTATTGTGGGCCATTTTAGGATGCAAGGCACAGTAGGGGTAAACAATTAAGAGAGGCTTCTGTGGTCTAGGAATGCAAGATCTAGTAAATATATAATGTCTCCAGCAAGAGAAAGGAGGACAAGCAAGTCAGAGCAAGCTGCCCACTGGGGTGGGAGAAGGGAATGATAAAAGGGAGGACTGGAAATATACACCAAAGTGAGTCATTAATACAACATTTCTATTCACAACTCAGAATTCACTGAACAAAAAATGGCCATTCTGTATAAGATTCCAATTAAATGCATTATTGTTGTATCTGATTGTGCTAGTGCCTGTCACTAATCCATGCCACAATGATACATGCTTTAAAAAAAAAAAAAAAGAAGAAGCAATTGGCTATAAGGGCCACCACAGTGCATTTCTAGATAAGAGCTCAGTGACTGTTAAGGGGCACCTGCGTAAGAGCTCTGTTAACAATGCTAGGCAAGGAAGAAAACCCCAGGGCAGATGCCAGATGGAGCAAGAGACAAACATGCATTTATTTTCCCTTTACTCCAGATAGCTCATTAAATTTCTTTTTTTTTTTTTTTTTTGAGATGGAGTCTCGCTCTGTCACCCAGGCTGGAGTGCAGTGGCGCGATCTCGGCTCTCGGGTTCACACCATTCTCCTGCTTCAGCCTCCGGAGTAGCTGAGACTACAGGCGCTCACCACTACGCCCAGCTAATTTTTTTCTATTTTCAGTAGAGATGGGGTTTCACCGTGTTAGCCAGGATGGTCTCA